GCACTTCACTCAAATATTTATATATGACCATGCATTTGACTTTTATTTGATGTGCATTAGAGGCAAGGTTCTAAAAGACGCTATACGCTAGTCGGGTAGCGAGCTGGGGTTTAGCACCTAGGTGGACTAGGCAAATTTAAGTAAATCTATTATATTTCGTGTAAATAAGTGTATGTTTATACTTAAAATATATATAATTACATCATAAATTGCAAAATAGAATGTCATATATATTATGAAGTATTGAAACATAATAAAAACATGGGGAAGAAACATATAATGTGTGTTCATTTAAGTATTCAACAACTTTCTTACAATTTATTAAAAAAATAATAATGCAAAATGAAAGTTATTTATTTTCTGTCTAAGTGAGTCGCAACTTAGGTGGGTCTGGGTAGGCTGGGCAGACACCTCAACAAGTCTAGATGCCCTTTTTAAATTTTCAAATGCCTAAACATTAATCGGGATAGTGGCCAACCGCCTAGCGCATAGGCTCCTAGGCGGTGCTAGGCGGAAATTTTTTAGAACAATGTTAGAGTATTTATACAATATTTAGAGTGAACTTTGACTTTAAATTTAATTATATAACCTTTAATTATTAGATTGAAGATAACCAAAGAAATTCAAAACCAATTAGTACTTGACATATTGTAATATTCTCATCCACTTCTTGGGTTAATATATCAAAACAAAATTCAAAATTAATTAGTACTATGAGATGGACATGGTAATACAGGAAGAAATTTGAAACGTTTGTATCACTTATCTTATTTTCGTTCATTTCGTCTTATTTTTACAAAAAAAAAAAAAAAAAATTACTGTGTCTAGAATATAAAGTGGTATATTATATGTCATTATTATTTATATGTAATTTTTTTTTTTTCAAGTATTCGTTTACTTATAAAATAACATATGATTACACATGGCTTACTAGCCTTGTTACGAACAAACTAAAAATCTCTCCACCTTTTGCCATCAGTGTTGTGAACACACGCCACTCGCTTTCTCTCTCTCCCTCTCTATCTCCTCACAAAGTCGCCGCCACGACAACTAACACCAACGAACAACACCACAAACAAATAAATAGAAACGCCGAGAAATACCAAAAATAAATAAAAAAGGAGAAACGTTTCTTTTCTAAAAAATCTGCGATGAACGATCAGCATCCACGGCTGAACCACCTCCGCAGCACCTCCCAGCTCCTCCGACAAGCCACGACGTCGTTCGCTGGCAACCTCTTCACCTTCGTCTTCCTCTCCCTCCTCATCTTCTCCTTCCGCACGGTCGTCGAAAATGGGACCCACCTTCTCACCTCCTTCGTCGACCGCGACCCTTCTCTCAAATCCCTCCTCTCCCGCCTCGACCTCGCTGGCGCCGGCAATACCAACCACCGCTCTCCCAGATCTCCGGCCGAGACCCCTTCTCCAATCACTCTCCGCCGGCGACACCGCCCATTTCTTCACCTCACCCGCGTCGGAACCTTAGACGACGATTTCTTCTCCGGCGATGACGACGACGCTCGCTCCCTCTTCGGCCCCAATCGGATCGCCCCAATCCTCATTTTCTCCTCCTCCTCTCACTCCACCTCCAAATTAGGGTTTAATGGAACTTACGGGACTAGGGTTTCTGAAATTGTGAGCTCCAGCCTCACGTTCAAGGCCGAGAAATTCACCATTTCCGATGACAGAGCTAGAGGCAGGGATGGCGACGGAGAAAGCAATGAAGGGGAGGAGAAAGGCGGCGATGAAGAAATGGACGATCGGGCCGTCGATTTGCAATTCTTGATCAACGGATTGGAGCTGGGTCGCCGGGACGTGGCGACGTTGTTCTTCCTTGTGAGTTTCTTATCTGCAGCTTACGGTTGGGTAATTCTAGGGTTTCTTGTAACGTATTCATGGGTTCTTGGCATTGTTTTTACAACAGTTGTAAATGATCTGATCGGGCGGTTTACTTCGTTTTTTGGTCTGGTTTGGGATGGGTCCAGATTGGGCATCAAGAGGCTCTCTGGGTTCATTCTCATGAGGTGGGCGGTGAGAGATGCTCTCACTCAGCTTCTGGGATTGTGGTATTTCGGTGAAATTGAGGACCAGTACTCTTTTTTCAAGCTGTTTATTAGGTTAAAGTTGATGCCTTTTTCGGTTATGCCTCCCTGGATTCGAGGTTATGAGAAGGAGCTTACTGGGTTTTTGTTTGTATGGTACTTGTTGGATACATTGGTGGCATTCGTATTTGCTGTCGATGCTTGGGTTGCTATAATGGATTCGAGGAAGAGTGGGAGAGAAATTGTCAAGGAAGGCTGTTATTTAATGTTGTCAATGTTGAGCCAAGCTATCCAAATCAAGTGTTTGGAATCTGTACTTTGTGGGGGATCTGTAAGATGGGTTTTAACTCGAATTTGTGGAAGATCGTTTGCCAAGCTCTTTCAGTCGACTGTTGAAGTTTATTTTATGGTATCCTGGCTCATATTTTACTTTGCAGCTAGGGCGAGGTGTCGAGATGCTAGTTCTCAGGGGGAGAGGATTGGAGCACTAGATTGAGGGCCTTAGGTGATACTTGGCAGTAATTGGCTGGCAGTTTCTCTTGCAGGCTTCAATAGCAACACTACATTACTGGTAATCTTTCAGTGCTCTGTGTTCCTGCTTTGGATTCGCTGATATTCTGCACTGCCATTGTTTGGTGTAGTTTGCTAGACAGATGTTGAATGTACTTTACCTTGAGCCAGTATACTACTTGTGTATTACCTTGCACAAGAATCCTTCATGTGTAAATGACGTTGCTATCATTGTTTTAATTCTCCGCAGTTTATGTTACTTTTTATGATGATAATGAAAGAAATCAGAGTTGTCATTGTGATAGTGACTTAGATTGTTGTAGTATTGATCTTTATGTCATTTTAATTATGGAAGAATTTCTTTTTTAAGTATGCCATTTTTTCATGTTTGTTATACACATTGCACAGAATTTCTGAATGCGCCTTAATTTACTGTTATGGATCACCATATATGGATGTATTAGTGTTTGTCTTATGGTAAAACAAATGTGATGAGAAAACTAGAGGACCCTTGGGAGTGTATATATATTTGCATATTCTTCAGGTCTGCTGTGCAGGTGGACGAGTTTAGGGTTATTTTGCTACAACAATCATATGAAATGCGTATAAGTATCAAGGACCGTTTTCAGAGGTGGACTCCGAATACTATGTACTTTTAATGTGGTCTTTGCTGATTGAATAGGTTTTTTGTTGGACATGCCAATCGTTGATTTAATGTATTTTTACTTTAAGAAGTATTTAAATAGTGAAATTGTTTATAACCTGCATGGATTCATTTTTGGTCTTCTTTAAGGATGAAGAATTTATGTTGGAATAAACGTGACTGGCACCATTTGGAGATTACCATGTATATGTAGATACTTGAGTTCCCCTGCTTTTCTGTGGACCTTCGTAGGGTTGGTGGATGCTCTGGAAAATGATTTAAGCTTTGGGTGTGGAATCATTCATAATATTGCCATATATATATATGCATATACAACTAATCCATTGGACTTGATTATTCTAGCAAACAAATGCAAATGCTTCCAATGCTCGTCTATTGACTTTGAATAAATCAAGACATCATCAATATAAACAATCGAAAAATGACTGTATTGATTAAAAATATCATTCATAATATTTTGAAATTCACTTGGGGCATTCTTTAGGCCAAAAGGCATTACATTCCATTCATAGTGTCCGAAAGGAGTTGCAAAAGTTGTTTTGTATTTATCAGATTCATGAACTTGAATTTGCCAAAAACCTGATTTCATATCAAATTTGGAAAAAATAACTGCTTGAGAAAGTCTCTTTATCAAATCTCTTTTGTTGGGGATTGGATACCGAATCCATTCCAAAATTTCATTCAATGGTTTATAGTTAATGACTAATCGAGGAGTACCTCCTTCTAATTCTTCGTTCTTTTGAACATAAAATGCAGGGCATGACCATGGTGACTTACTTTTACGGATAATTCCTTTATATATACACACACATATATATTCATTATTTACAAGGACTGTTGTTTACATAGGATTAGGACCCCTGACTTTGGTGTTGGATCCTTTAGATCACTGTCAGACTTATTTCTCCTATCTTGAATGTGTTCGTTTGCTATTCGTCTTGCATGTTCAAGCTGCATCTGTCAAGGCTATGCGAATTTGGCATGCGGTTAAGGTGCTAAAAAATGCAATGAATTGAGCTAAACAGTTGAGAGGTCTGGTGCTCGAAATGTAGATGAACATAGTTTACAATCATATATTTTGAAGCTTCTTCTCTTCTTTTATGTGGTCGGAGTACAATTTGAGGTCTCTAATAGCCTGTTTTATGTAGAAACAGACTTTGATGTTGAAGAAGGCAAGTCTATATCGTCTCCTTGCTAGAATTGAAGCCGCCGCTTGGCTGAAACCCAGTTTTTAAACCAATTTCGCGGCAGTGATGACCGATGAACACTCACTCCATTAGTGATGTTCAAGTCGTCGTTCCACTCAGACAAAATCAAGAAAGAATTTTTTGTTAGTCGATAACAAGTCCCGTCTCTTCAAACAAACATAGAATCTGGTCTTCCAGCTTCCACTGTTGAATTTGATAGAGTTTATGTTTGAATAAGTGATGAGCTTTGTAGGTTTAACTTGTCCTTGGCTTCTCTGTTCATTTCCTAATTGGCAGCATTCCTCTCTGTAATTTCATGTCCATATGACCTTGGCTTGAATTCTGCAGATCCCACACTGCTGACAAACAATGACTTCAATATTTTGTATATCAGGAAAGGAAGCTCATTAAGCTAAGTTGTCATATTTTCAGGAATTAATACGACAAACATGTCACTTAGTACTAGTGGTATTATTCTTTATTTGTAAGTGAAAGGTCTTAGGTTCGATTCTCGCAAAAGCAAATTTGAATCACCTTATTTCTAGTTCATTGTGAGGCTAAGTTCATATCTCCCTTTTAGTGAGATAATATTGTTTGTTCCAAAAAAAAAAAAAAAATTCAGACATAAAAAATTAAATAAAAATCTCAAATATTTAGACCACAACTACAATGTGGGAGATGAGAAATCATGTGGTTTAAATTAAGAGGAATAACTCGTGAAACAATGAAGGGCATAAAGAGAAATGGAAGTGCGAAAATCATTTTATTTTCCTTTTATTTTCAGTGAATACTTGCAACTATTTCAACTGTTTCAATGCTCTTGACTTCCTTTTCTTCAATATTAAAGATTGCGAGATGATTATTTTAGAGTGCTGATAATGATTTTCCTGTAACAATGTCATACCAATAGAAGTGGGAGTTTCGCTCATAAAAGTTGAGCAGTGGTCAAGTACTGTACTTCAGATTTTGGTGCTGATGTACATAGTTTGGAATCTGGACCACTCCAGTTATGTTTCATACACAACAAATTCCAAGCCTATTTAAACAGCAGAGGAAGCAGAACAGAACTTACTAATTTTTGAATTGAATCACAATTAGGTGACCTACAAATTAGAATAATATTAATCTCTTGCAACTCTACATATTGTACAACAACAATAAGGCCATATATTTCTCCTGATTTATTATCATTGGAGCAGAGACCTCATGAGTCAACTAAATACCTCAGTGTTCTTTGTTAGTGCACTCAATTGAATTCTCGGAGACACAGATGAATCCTTCGATGATCATCAGGCGAGCTAGCGCAGCGAACAATGTCGAGGAAAAGGCTCTCATCACACGGGATGTAGAGCTTCGAATCAGCATTGTAATCGTATTCTTCTTGAGCTTGATCGAGCAATGCCTTGAGGAGAGGGTGGTTAAGCAAGGTGATTTTGATCACAAACCTCTTGTGATTTTCACCTACGTAGATTACTAAGTGACCCTTTGGGACATCTTTTGGGATGGAGTTTTCTTCTTGCATGGAAGGCCAGAGAGGCCATTGGCAGCAATTTTCACAGCACGTGGAAGAAGGTATGCTCCCTCCACTCCCTATCTTCCTCCACTTGTTTCCACACACCCTTACAAACTTTCCCTTCATCATTCTTCTTTTTTTCTTTAGCTAAGTATACCCAGAGAGAGAGAGATGAAATAGGTGAGGTGGTAGTGGTTAGTACAAAGATGAAAGGTATATATAGAGGTGGGAGAGGAAGCACTATTTTGGAGCAATAAATGGTTGAAATGATATGTTAGCTATGAGGGAAGCTGAGATGTGATAATTGTGATCATCATGGGGCAACTTCTAAGTGATGGTGTTCTTTCCTTTCAGATTTGCATATTTGCTATCACCGGTTAGATCTGTTATTAACATTTTAAAAGATTGTTTTGCAATATTTCTTATCGCTTGTAGAAAAGAACAAAAGTATACAAAATGACTATTTTGAAGTGCTAATACCATATCATGATAATATGTCAACATTTATTAAGTTATCTAAGCATATTATAGATTATTGATAACCAACAAGTTCTATTGACTTATTATCAACATGTTATGTAACGGTATATAAATGCTTTGCAGTACCGTGCTGTATCCTAAACTTTACTGTAATGCATCTTGATAGGAAATTCTACGAACATGCATCTCATCTCAAAGATTATAATATATAAAACGTGGCACATTTGGCGGCAGGCTTTTCCCCCCTTCTGTTTTTCACAAGAAATCACGGTGCTTGACGAGTGATTTTTGAAGTTCTCGAAGTTAAGACCCCACGGGTTGGGAGAGGAAAAGATAACATATGAGATTAGGATCCGACTGGCAAAGTGTGCGATCCCACTTGCTTGTTCTCCAATTATTTTTGCTCAATTTAATATATATAAATCTGCCAAAAAAAAGAAAGAAAAATCTGCACCAAGATGTTTCATATGCAAAGTTCTAAAAATCGCTAGACGCTAGTTAGACGGTGGGTAAGGATCTAGCGTCTAGGCTGATTTATGTAAATTTATTATATATCTTATAAATAAGTGCCTATTTACACCTAAAAAAACCTATACTTGTATGGATAATAAAAGAATGATAAAATGAAAAAATAGAAGTAGAAGAATATACAAATTATATACATCCAAAAAATTCAATATTTAAAAAACAGTAAGCATATAATCATAATGAGGATGATTTGGATGATAGACTAAATTATTCTTGTTCATGATCCTTGCATTGGATTGGACATAAACTAAATTATTTAACCTTGTTGTATCTAGTTTATTTCTTTTCTTTGTATGTATCTCCTCAAAAGTGCTCCAATTCGTTTCACTATTGGATGAACTTGTAGTAAATCCATCATTTGTAAATTAGGTACACCATTTCCATAAGTATACAATCATGAAACCACAAAAAAAAAAAGCACACAATTAATAAAAAATAAAAAAAAATATTAAAAAAGGGTCTAGGACCGCCTAGCTCCAAACCAATTTTTCGAAACGATTTGCCTAAAATCGGGGCGGGCCTTCACCGCTTAGCGCCTAGATGGCTGCCTAGGCCGATTTTCAAAACATTGTTCATATGTAATTCTTCATAAACAATGGATTAAATTGTGAGAATTTTCTATGGTGTTTCACTGTACTGGAATTTCTTATATTTTGGAGTTTAAATTGTTAAAATTTTGATCAAGGATACAATAATTAATATTCAATGGTTAAAGATCTGGACTATAAGATACTCTAAAACTCCATCGAATTTTGGTAAATTGTGGTCATTTGTGTATTTTAGTGAAGGAAGGATTCTTTTAGCTGTAACACAAGAAATTATTTTATCTATAACTTTTCTTGATTAGTGTGTGATTTGAGGATAATAAGTGAACTAAGTACAAATTAAATTATTTGATACTGAAAGTTGCTGGAACTTGTTTGGCTGGAATCACATTGGGTGTAAGATAATGTGACATGAGCTAAGGCTTCTACTTTTGGTCTTTCTTTTCTTTTTTTTCTTTTTAAATATATTTATTTCTCCACTAATAACTAATGACATAAAAGATTTTATCAATAATGTGATTATTTACTAGACATTTGAAAATTAACAAATGACGTCTAGATCTGTTCAGGTGTTCGTCTAACTCGCCTAGACACCAACCCGCCTTAGTCACGACTCTTAGTTTGAAAAAAATACAAAACTTTCATTTTGCATTTTATTTTTTCAATGAATTGTAAGAAACTTGTTGAATACTTGGATTAACAATAATTATATGTTTGTTCCCCATGTTTTTAATGTATTCTAATACTTTATAATCTATGTATTTTATTTTACAATTTATGTATCTCAATGTAATTATGTATTTTTAAAGGATAAGCAGACATTTGTTTATATGTTCTATAACAAATTTAATTAAAGTTAAAAAATTGCCTAGACGCCTAGACTAGCACCTAGTATCTTTTAGAACCTTGTGTGATCAACAACTTTTGTTGCTTTTTTTGAATCGAACACTTAAATTAAGTTGTATATATAATTTTATAGCATGCATGCATGTACTATCCGTACAACATTGTTGCTCTGCAGTCTTAAAACGGTTAGCCTGCAGTTTAGATTTGGATAAGTTTTTGCGAATCTCTGCAATATCTGACCTTATAAGCATTCAGCAGAAGAGATGGGCTATGAGTAAGAGAGTACTAAAGGGGATGGATGGATGTGTCCTGCTGGGTTTGCAGAGCATAAGATGGGAGTCACATTTTTAGTCTTATATGGAGAGAGACTAGTTCTCGATTCTTTCAACATTCTCCATTTGCTCACCAACCAAAAGGATCAATTTTAAGGTTTCTCTCTTCAGAAATCATGCATAGATGAATTATACATAAAGACACGATTTAACCTAAATTCGTAAAGTATATTATCTTACCATACTATGAATATATAAATCATTACACTAATTAATTCTTTGCCAAAACACAACATTCATATTTGTCACAGCATAAGCATTGTTTTCTGACAATATTAGTTTGGCAAGACTATCAATGTAAAATAAATGATTGAAGGGATCGAAGAACAATTGAAACCATTAACCACCATTTCGAATAGAACAGCAAGGTGAAGCAGACTCTGTGCCGACGTATGGGAATTTTTTGTCCGTTCCTTCATAATTTACCATCCCAAATGGGATTATAAGATTTTAGGACCTTTTTGGTATTTTATTTTTAAATTTTTTTTATCTGTTTTTTAATTGTATATAAGCAACCTCTAGGTTGGTAGGGCTGTGTCTCTTTTCGATTAATAAACTTATCTCCAAATTGGGTAGATTTCAGATTGTTAGTTGATTCTAGTTTAGGATATGTCGTTCAGTTTTTCTACTACTTTATCACACTGCATTAACTATTATCTATTCTTGATTAGACAACATTAGCATTTTTTTTTTTGAATAATACCATATTTATTGAAATAAGGGAAATACGTATATCAATATGGAGGATGGGGTGCACTATGGACCCCGATAAAATCTTGCCGGGAATTTCAATCCGTACAAAAAAAAAAAATGAGTGTCCCGCACAATTAACAATATAACCATCCTCCAAACAATACAATCATCACAAATTAATTAAGAAACATCCTCAGTTAAAGCATCTTGGACTAAAATTGGTGCGTATCCACACCAAGCCATCTTATATATTGTATGTGTTCTAACGAGTTTAGTAATTAGCCAAGCATTTTCTAGGTATATCCACATATCCTCTATGGCTCGACCTAGTTATCATTGCGGAGTACATACAACTGTACAAGCATCTTAAGGCTCGTTTATAAGTGTGTTTAAAATAAAAGGGTGCTTTTAAGGAAAATAATTTTGGATTCCAAAAGCACTTGAAGTGCTTTCGGCAAGAAGCACCAGTTAAGTGCTTTTCGAGAATTTACTTGCATTTTTACTAAAAATTAGTTCCAAAAATACTTTCACCAAAAACCTTTTAGTTATTTTAAAAGCACTTCAAAATGAACTCTTAGATAAGATAGACCTCTTTGAATCAATCCATATTTAAAATAAAACTTGAAAATGCAAGCAATTGTGGAATGGTGCAGCTTTGTGCATGGTGGATTCTGTGGTTGTGATTCTGAGTGGGTTCAGATGTTTGAATTTTGAAGTTGATTTGCTGAGAGATGAGTGAGTGCCAGCACACTGACTCATCCGCCATAGAGACAAACTTGGCTGTGCTAGGTTGGTTGAAAGAAAGAGTTCCTCTTTCCGACAATTTATCAATTTGACTCAAACTGCCAACACTATTTCTACAGACATGGAGACGGACTGAAAGACGAGTTAATATCCTTGAACTATTCCTCCTGTCAAATCTCATTCAACATTTTCATAAACTCTTCATATCCAGCTATAACTTTTTCCTCTCCGATCTCTTAATCTAAAGAAAAGAAGAAATAATAAATCAACTTCCATTTGTTCAAGACTTTGAAACTATATATGTTTAGAAGCTTTAGTTAAAGCAAGTTAAGATAAATTATTATAACTAAACTCTTTGTTCATTGCTACTTCTTCTTAACACCAAAAGATATGGATCGGCCGAGATTAGAGAGCAGACCCGAGAGCATCCCTCTCCCACAAATGGTTGAGAATATCTCGTTGACTGGTCTCACGTAAACTAGTCTCTTATACAAGGTTGATCTCATTTAAAAAACAGAAAATTAAAAAAGATAGCCCGTAACTATCTATATATAATCAAATGGAATTTTAACTTTCACTTTGCTGGAGTAAAGTTCAAATATCATGGACAAACTTCTTGTATTGAAAAATCGAAACAAACATCACATAATGATGCATCAGATCATATAATGTATATACAGAAATTGAAGCGTGCATGCATGCATGAAGATGGTGGGATCTTATGAGGTGGGTCGTAGACAAAGGTGATAGGGTGGGGGAGCTTAACAAAATGATGTATGTAGTGCACATGAGGTTGGGCAAAAGAAGGCTAGCCTCTCACGGGTGGGTGAGACTGAGAACTGAAGGATCAAGAGACAGATATTTCCGATCAGAAGTCATGTATCATATGCGCATTGCGATATTTTTTTACGGTACCTCGGAGGAATATGAGATATTTTGAATGTTTTAACTGTTAAAATTT